TTTGACTGCTTGAGATATAATTAATTTACAATAAATCAATATTAATTGTGATAATTACTTATAAGACTTATTTTAAATGTTATTTACTACTTATTTTGGGAAAACTTATAACAATTAAATAATTTTCTGATATACTATGGAAACATTTGTATAATGGTACAAAATAAGGAACTGAAATCCAAATAAGAAAATGCAGGAATATGGAACCAATTTCAATCACAAAATTGCTTTTTATTCAATATATGAATGTGCTTGAAGAGTGAAAGGAAAAGAGGGAAGGAGGAAGTGATGGAGAGATAGATAAGCATCACTTTGGTTGTCTAATTCAGTATCCCCAGTTCTGCTGTGTGCTATCATGAAAGGCTTTTTTGGTTTTGGTACATAGGGATTTGAAGAATATGTAATATCATATTTCCAAGGTAAACAAGTGAAGTTGGGTTGTGTAGTGTCAGATGGAGCCCAGAAGTTCAGTGGGTTGATTTCAGTTGGCTGGCACAGCTGGCAATCTTGTTTTCCTTGCAGCAAGGGTGACAACTCAGTGCCACGTTCATTTTCCATGCGCAGTGCTTCTCAGCAGCGCTCGCACGCACATGAGCTGCTTGGCTGGCTCTGTCAGCTGAGCCCAGCGCCGCCTCACCCAGCAGGGCAGCCTTGCCAGCTCCGGGCTCCTTCCTGCGCGGGGCTCAGCAGCACTACTTGTGCAGCAGTTCTCTCCAGCTAGCACATCTGCACTGCTGTTGTTAGCCTGTGCTTGCAGCTCTGCTTTGTATTTACTGAGGCAAAGGGAAAGTAAGTTCACTTCTAATAATTCTGGGTAAACTTAAAAGGGTTTGATGTATTTTGCTTCACCTAAACATGTGTACAGCTTCCTCTCTCTGTGCAAGTCAATGACCACTGTCCAAATAATAGGTAGTTCTCTGTATTAACTGTTTTCCTTCTTCTGAATCCACCTTTGATCTGCAGCTGCACTTGCTGAAGTTCAGAGAAATGTTTATATTGATTTCAAAGCAGGCAGAATTATATCCTTGAATGTAAAATTTTCTTTTCAAGATATAAGTCATCTTGTGTGTCTCTGATTTTTTGTATTTCTGTACAACTTAAAAATCACACAGAATGCCTAGGCACTGACTTCTCTAAATTGCCTCTACTTAAAATGACTGATTTGTTTATGTATCATTTTTCCAGACATGTGAATTCCTTATCCCCTCATTCTGTACCAGTGTGGCCCTCAGCACAATTAGTGTTGACAACTACCATCACACTTTCTGTTTCTCTGTCTGGTGTTTGAATGGTTTTCAACCTACAGCAGTATGACTGGGTATGAAATTGTGATGAAATTACATCTAAAACAAAAGATTACAGCCTGTCTCCTTAGCAACCCAGGCCACTGTGTGCATGCAGCCAGCCCAGGCTGAAGTGAAAGACTCTGTTTATTCCCATGATGTTTACTAGCAAATCTCAGGATTAGCTGCATCACCCCCTGAGGCTTTGCCATGAACATAATGCTTACAGCAAAGCAAACTATGTCTTCTGTTTTGCTTTTACAAGCAGGGGAGGATTTTGCTGGATATAAAATTGGTAAAAATGTGCTGTCTTTGCACAAGGAAAGAAAGGGAGAAGCATGTTCTGCAGTTTCACATCGTATCTTCTGGGCTTTCTGTCTTCATACCCCACTGGGCCGAGCAGGCCTCAGCAGTGCTGAGTGGTACTCTCAGCTCCAAAACTCCAATGAAAAGTAGAGATGTTTAAAAAAAAAAAGTGTCTCTGAGTTCCTGATAGAGAGAGGAATATAAAGAAAGATAAGTCAATAGCCCCTCTTGGTTGTGTCTTTTAGAGATTTTTGCTCTGCAGGGAGCAGCAATAGTTTTCAAGGCAATACAGGACTGGGGCATTCCCAAGGACTTGGCTGGCTTGTAAACTGTGACTTAAAGGACACTCTCCTTCACATTGCACGAGAGTGTTCTCTGCCAGCAAACACATAAAGCAAACTGCTGATGCACACCTTTCATCAAGGAAAAAAATGAAAAATTTGTTTCTTGTTTTAAAAATTGAAATTAGTCGCATCTGCATTTCTCCAAGGGGTACATAAGTTGGCAAGATTCTAATAATAAGTTCCACAGAAATTGAATACTCGTTTCAAACCAAAGTGATTGTTGCATGCATGTACATTCTGCATACTGGGTGAAGACTGTAGTTAATTTTGGATCTTTTCTGTGAGGCTAATCTCACTCTTGTCAAGCTAATGGTCTGTATGGTCCACTGGCTGAATGTCTTCTATTAAAAGTACATATATTAAGGGGAATATTTTTTCTAAAATAATCACCATAGCCTCTATAATAGAATGGAGGAGAATCTAATGGTGTCTAATTCCCCTTGATTAGAATGGCAGTATTTTGCCATAGTGTCGTTACACTGCCATGTACTGGGGGTGTATCTGTTAGGTGTGGAGCAGAAGACACAAAGAAATGTTATTCATTCCTTTCTCTTTGATAGGTAATACACTGTGAAGATGAAAAAAGCTCTAAGTCTTATTAGTGTACTTCGTTAAACTTTGTTAAGACCAAGATATACAGCAAAGTTTGTCAACGCCCTGCAGTTAGAAGCAATTGTGATGTGCTTGCTGGGAAAAATCATGATGTCTTTGAATGTGGGAGACCAGCTATGTGTGTGGCATTGCTGATGAAGTCCAGTGTGACCTTGAGCAGGTCCTTCTTTTCCTTCTTTTGAAAATGAGGTTGTGTTCCTCTGGATCATAGAATTTGAGAACAAATAGGCAAGTATTTGCAAAGGAATCAGTACACTTATGAGAATCCAGGCAACTTCCAAGGTATTCACCTCCCGGAAAATGGGCTTTAACAGATTTTATACTAAGCAGATAAATATTTTTTATGTGTTTAAAAAGGAAGGAGAGCACAGTGTATAAAGTTAGCCACGTATGGATAGGTTTCCAAGTCAAGGCCTTAGAAGCCAACTTGGATGATTTTTTTGGAGGAAGTCTTATTGAATATACAGATTATTTGGGGAACTGTATAGAAAACCCCCAAAATAAACAAGAAATATAAGCTTCCTCTTCAATCTCTGAGCAAAATGTCAATGATAGCCTCTTCAGAATATATTATTTATGTATCATTGATGGATCTCTGTACTGACTTTCAAAATTTTTGCATTTGACTTTTCTCTCTCATAAATTCTATAAGAAAATGAAATTATCATAAAGACATCTGAAACTGGTGTGTTTTAAAGCACTTTGCTTGAGTTGTGTGGAAGCTGTCTACTGTCCATATTTCATGAGATAGTGATCTCCATGATGAGATCAAAGCTATAGTGAACATTTTGAAGAACTAAAAATTATTCCAGAGCTTTTATTTAAGACATTCTGTTGAAGAAAAGGGAGATGGAGAAATGATCTTTGTGTGACAATTTTGAAAAACACTGGATTAACTAACAAACCTCTGCCTCTTCAAATTGAAGGAAAAAATCTCGGAATCCTCTTTTGTGGTGCTTATTTTAACTTTTCCCCTTTCTCTGGTATACCGACTGAAAAAATTGAGGAGAAAGAGTGATCTCAACACTTGTTAAATGTCAAAACATTGATAAAATATTTGGAAGTGTCTTCATTTTTCTTGACTGATTTGCTCTAGGAAAAGAGAAGGAATTAACTGATGTGCAACTTTAATGCAAACCTCCCCCACCCCCAAATATTTCAGTATTATTTCAACTGTGTTCCACATCCCATTTCTGATAAAATAAATGATGAGTGCACTACAGTGGGTCAAGAGTCCCAAATATGAGACAGACAGTTTCTATGGGCATGTTGGATAGAATCACTACCAGAGTCAGGAATGCCTTTGTGAGGTGCAGTTTATGGAGAAAGTAACTCAGAGGTTAAGATGGATTCAGCAGCTTCTCCAGGAAAGGTTTTTTATAACAGGTGACTCTCTGCCAGCAGCTACTCGCATTGCTGACTTGCATGTTGCAGTCCGTGCAAAGTGTTGTTCCAAACTGAAGCCCTAACACAGGAACTGAGAAATAATACAGAAGTTAAAAAAATATAAAATCTCTTCTAGAACATAGGTACAGCCACCCTAGGACATATTATTTTTATCTCAAGTACAAATTATTAAAGATACTTTAAAAACAATGGGAAAAACCATGGAAGTTTATACTTGCAATATGCCAGGATCCAACAAATTATTTTAAAGTAATTATTTAATTTATGAGATTTGGGAAGACAAACATGAGACACAATTCCAAATCATAATAAAATGCAGTAAAGCTGCAATTTTTGTCTCATCCCTTTGTAACGATAAGGGCTAAATTTAAACTTTGGTTTGAATCTCGCATTTCGATTCAGCTGACATGAATAGTCAGTGTATTAGAATGTGATCAGTGAGTTGGCTGGAAGCGTGCATTAAGTCTGTGATGTAAAACAGTTCTGATATCCAAGGAGAGATTCCTGCTCACTTCCGTTTTTCTTAGACAAGGTACTTGGTATGTTACTTAAGATTTTTCAAATGCAGTAAATACAAAACAAAACAGAAAGCAAACAAACAACAACAACAAAAAAGACAGAAATTACTGATGGAATATCCTTATCTAAAAACCAGCTATGCAAATCCATCTATCTTCATGAATAGTCATAGAAGTTAATAAGAATAACATCAATAGGGTTCTCTGCTATTATAATAGTTCTCTGTAAGTCATTCTTTCAAAAAAAAATTATTATTGATGTTCTTTGTCTAGATATTTGAAGCATCCCATGAAGGTTAATGTATTTAAAAAAAAAGATTGTTTTTAAAGAAAAGAAACATAAGAGTTCTAAGTTGCTGTTACCTTTTTGTGGTGTTTCTTCTGTCTGTTATATACAGGCAAAAGTGATGTGGATTTGATAGCTACATAGCCTTTTAGACATGACTCGAAAAAGTACTTCCATGTTATATCAGATTACATGAGTCATAAATTAGATTAAAGCATTGGTTTCTCTGCTTCTCTTCTGATAGGTCATTGCTTGTGAACAGCAGTATGACTACTCCTATGATGCTCGATGTGACGTGTGGTCCTTGGGAATAACAGCTATTGAACTGGGGGATGGAGACCCTCCTTTATTTGACATGCATCCGGTGAAAACACTTTTTAAAATTCCAAGGTATGGCACTAGATGGCCCTCCTCACTCACTAGTTTGTTCAAAGGTAGTCTACTCAAAGGAGAACTATTTGGCAAATATTTGTGTTTAAAAGCCTAAGAATCTCTTCTACAGAAAGACAATAAAAATCTGTAAGTTAAAGATTTTTTTTTAGTCTGGCTTCTACAATAATTTTTATTTAGAATGCCTTGAAATTATAAAGACTTATTTATTTTATTCTTACATTAGAATGTAAAATCATATGATATCCAAGTACCTTTCTTCCAACAGAACTTTTCTTACCTACTACTGATGAAAACGTTTATTCAAATGGAGAAGCCAACATTTGTTTATTTAACATTATTTGTTAAATAATGCTTTCAAATATTATTCCCCTAGAGCATTAGGCTTGTTTTACTGTAAAAGGAAAACATACAATTTTGACAGTGCTATGAAGCAGTCTGGCAGTTTCAGCAAACTGTAATCATAATTTATTTTTTCATTTACCTGAGGATGTTAAAATGTGAAGATTTGGATTGTCATCCATGGACAATCTCATATGAATTAGATTAGATTATATATCAAAAAGGGATATAAATTCCTTTCTATATATAGTCATGTAAATTAGCTGTATTATTTCATACTGTCTATATTTGATTTCATTTGTTTTCATTTCACTGAGTCTTCCTGAATAAGTGAGATTGACAGTGTGAAATAGAGTTTAGCAACAGAACAGTTGTAATAATAGAAGAAATATAGAAATTGTCCATCATTGATTAGGCTGGCATGTACTAGTATTTTCCACATTTTGGCTAATGAAGAATCACCACTGACTTAACAGTTTAAAACCTTCAGCAATACAAGTATTTGACCTTTTGTTATCTACACAGTTATCATAGGCCTTTAAAATTTTGTCTGATTGCAATTTGCATTTCTGATTAAGTCTATTTATATGCAGATGCAGTTGTGCTGGGTTCTGGCTCATGCAGCTATCTCCTTCTCCCCGCCTCAGACAGGAACTGCCACTGCTCTTTCCAAAATTATTTATACTGAAGCAGCAGTTGATCTTGTTGCCTTTTCATGAGTGTAAAACATGTCTGGCCAGTTAAGGCGAGGGAGACTTCAGATTACTAAAACAATATCTAAATATTTTATCAGTGCTCAAAATAGTGTAAGAGGACAGAAGTGGTACCAAAAGTAAGAGCAAGCAATAGGAAGATACAAAAAAATAGGGCATGTAGAGTCTTTGATTTCTGTCTACAGATTGCCTATTTCTCTATGTGCTGTTGCATCTCTGTATGACATAGCAAAACAAAGGTGAATTATCTATCTGATTAATCAAATAATGTGTATATTTACCAAATAGAATAATATCAGTTTTTGAGTTGAAATATTTTCCTCTGCTGTGCATTATATAAGCTATAGCCCTGCTGCTTCTAACTATGCATTCTTATTAGATGAAGTGAGCTATGATGAGTGCTGGATGGCATAAACACCTAGGGTATAGGAGACAGAGCTTTTCTCCTGGTACTTGTTTGAAATCAATTCAGAGGGACAGCAAATATGACAAAAAAGTGCATTCCCCTCTTAGAGTAGCTTGACAGTTCAGAAGAATTCTCGGAGCAGTTCCTGATAACTAGGCTGAAATTCACACATTTTTAACAACCTTTTCAACATGAGCATTGATGCTCTCAGACTCTAAGTGGTTCTTCTGGGCAGTGGGTGTTGAGTGTCCAGCAGTGACATATGGAAGCATTGGAGCTCACCTTCTGAGACTATTCAATCCAAAATCCTCTGAGCACAGTTATGGTGTGACTGTGGTTCCCTACAGTCAAGCTCTTTTTTATCTGGAAGTGCAAAAAGCTTCTGCAAATAACAGACAATAAATGTAATGGGTAATAATAAGCAGTAAACTTAATGAGCTATTGATTCATTGATTTTTGTATGTGATTTCTGTATGTGTTCTCCCAGGATAATTTTTTGTTGATTGGGCTGATTTGACTGTAGTTGGGAGAAGAGGTGACATTGCTATTTACAGTAAAAAACACTTAGATATCACTGAGTCCGAGAGTTATCAAGAATTAATTACTTGTTTGCTTACATTCTTGACTCCAGTTGATCCATATCTTTCTATTTATACTGCCTTCTGTGTACTAGACTGGTCTGTTTTCTGTGATGCTGGTTTCTTTACATTAGCAGGAAACTTTGCAGTGGTTTTCAAGTTTTGTTATCAAACACTGTTTAATAATCTATTCTCATGAATATTTTAAAATGCTAGTATTGGCAAAATTGCCAAAACTAGATACAGAAATGGCTGTGTGTGTTTCTGTAGACTTCTTCCATTCTCAAATGGTCAAGTTTCTCTGTCAGTTTAGTCACTGGCTTTTTTTCTAGCGAGAGCCAATTGTGCTTTTAGCCTTGGCATTGAGTTTCAACACAGTGAGCAGCAGAGCTAGACCTTAGTCTTAGAACGAGTATAATTTAAATCAATGAGTCTTTACTTTGACTTTATGAGATTTTAATCAACCATTAGATGAATAGTTTTGTACTGGCAGTCAGAGCAGTCAAATACCCTCAAGATCTTTGGCAATATCTTGGTGTGTAGAACTCAAGTCAAGGACGTCTGTTAAACTTAACTGCTTCTAGGTCCATGTCTGTGTTGTGTAACTAGGACCAGGGATGGACTAAACTCCAGACTGAATAGCTCAGAGGTTGGCAAAGGAGCACATCTGTGGATACACCCATAGAGTCCCAAGATGTGTTATATGGCATTGTGGGAAGAGGAGACCATTTAAATTCAGATTTTCTATCATTGGGTCAAGCAACATAAAATGTGATTGGGGACTGAATTTATCTTAACAAAATATCTTATTTCTAGAGGACAGGTGAAGCCTCAGAAATCACCAGGTACTTCCAACTTGGTGTAAGAAAAAAGGTAATCCCACTGTGCTGCACTTCTCTCAAAGCCTGACTAGTTTCACAACAGGAGATGCTGCATGCTAAGTGTTTTTGAAAACACAATGGTATTTTTTTAAGGTGTCTAGGTATTAACTTCATACTTTTGATAATATGGCCTGAACTGTGAACCAGATGTTTAAGCAACTTCCCGTGGTTAAACTTTTCTTGTCCTACAAAATTTGTCTGCAGCAAATATCTGATAGCAAAAGTGGAGTGAAAAAGAAAATGCTAGTTAATTTTTACATCACATGTTTCATTAGATTCCGGACCTTATTTCTATGTATATTATGTAGATTTAGAAGAGTAGGGGATACAAGTTCCTCAACTAATGCAAATATAAAAAGCCCCTTTAATTCATGAACATTTTGTTGTATGAAGGTGCATTATTTTAGAAATAGTTGTGACAGCACATGCATGAGACTTTTCTTAAAACTAATGAGAAGGAGACATTATCTTAGAGCAAATGTTAAGGTTCTGTTTTCCAATAATGCACATATTCTCTCTCATCAGAATGGATTCTTGGATCTAACTAATAAATCTCCTGAAAAGGGACCTCCAGTGCTTAGAGATAAGAGATAAATCATACTGCGAAGACACTGAACCATGAAATTATTCTGTTAACATGTCATCTGCCTAGAATATATTTTCAAATCTCCAACAGAAGGGTCTAAATTATGAAAGGAAGGTGGCCTAGTGAAGTTGGTAATTTGGGAGTTGATACTTTTAACCTCTTCCATCTGCTGTCACTACTTAGGTGTGTCGGTTTTGGCAAAAATACTACGAAATGAAGGATTCTCAAATACCATTACACCTAAGCTTTTTAAAGTAAAATAGGTCCGTAAATTCTTCTAACTATGTTATCTCATGGGAAATATTACGTCATCTCAGTACTATCTCTTAGGGTATCATGACAAATCACTGAAAATTATTTGAAATTTTGAAAAGTAATGGTTATAAAAAATAGTGTGGCAAAGAGGAGATAAATATGGTATAGTAGTCCAGGAAGGGTGGATGGGTTATATGTACTAGTGTGAAGTGAGGATTTCAGATCATGTTGCAAAGATCCTGCTTTTCAGGATTTGTCTCTTTATATATAGTCTTTTTTACAGGGACATGGTAAAGAGCAATTTTTCTAGGTTACACTGACAGCTGATGCTAACAGGAATTACACCAAATTGAGTGATAGACATGAGTGGAGAAGTGGAAGACACCTGTTTTAAAATTGATTGGTGATAAGAAATGGCTGTTTGATTTTCTAACTCACAAAATCTGAGAATTAAGTGAAATTTCATTATGCTTCATTAGTTCATGTTAACTAGCCAGGAGTGGAATGGAATTGAGCTTGTGAGTAGTCATTGAGTGGTGCTGTTCTTAAACTGTGTTGTACTGTGTTGAGACTTACAGCTTTTGGGAGTACTTATTAGTTTGAATTTACTGATGCTTGACTGCTTCAGCAGCTGACCTGCATCCACCAGGATCAAACCACCTCCTACCCCATTGCAAATTCAGCTTCGTGGTAGTTTGTACATAGGCAGTGTCTTCATAATTTCTGTGCCACCATAACTCACCTTTTATGTTGGTAAATAAACTCTGAAGAAGTTCTTCAAGAGTACTCAGTTACTGTCATTTTTAAGGTATGATTGTGTCAAGAGAGAGAATAGACAATAGAATATAACTTCAGTAGATAGAGTGACTGTGGTACAGCCCGTTGCACCTTCACCTTGCTTTGTTGTATACATGTTAGGCATCTGGTGTACTGCAGGTAGTTCTATCCATCTGAACAGCTAAGATCCATTGTGGGGACATTTTAAATACTAACATCTTCTAAAACAGCCTTTCTTGTTGCAGCCTCTCATATTCCAACTTTTCTGTAATTTTGCCATCTGCATGGGTATTGACATGATCCTGATGTATCATGTAGCATACACTTTTACTGCTGTTGCTTGGAATGGGAAAGAAACACAAGCGTGTGTTGTAGGACAATAAAGCTGCCCACACCCCTCGTAAGGCAGCCCAGGGTTCCACCAGCCTTCGTTACTACAAGGGCACAGAACTGGCTCATGTT